CACCCACATAGACAGGCCCAACAAATTACTCCTGTGTTCGTAAGTATATATATTCTATATATGGTAATTTCAACACTGGTGGTATAGATTGGCTAAAGTCATGAACATGTTCTGAAATATGGCAATCATACTGTTAAGTTCAGACAATATTCTGCACCTCCAAGGTCTTGTGGTCTCCACCCCTCTACACAGCGAGTGCACACCTGTATAACAGATTTACTAAACATACATCTTTATGTTACAAAAAGAACAAACTTCTTCTCTCTAAAAGACTTTAAAAAATAAGAGTATCAATCAATATACAGAAGTGTGTGAAATGGCAACTACAGCCGTTCATCTCCACAGCCTGATCTGATTTTAGAACTTACTGTATGTTTAATTATCATCTCCTCTCAACCTCAGACTGACTCTTGTTGGCAGCTATAACAAATTTCTAGAATTTGTAAACATCAATAATGCAACTTCATAAAACTTACGTCACTAACAAGACCACAATAAAAATAGCTGGCTAGAGATGGCATAAACACGATGTCCTCTAACCTTGCCAAGTAATCGTCACGGAGCACTGTGGTGCACCCTGAGGGGCATTGGTTCCGCCCGTCATTAAACAGAACAAAATGGAGGGGAAGGAAAGGCACAGGCAACGACAGTCATTCACTACAACAAACTGCACTTATTCTTATTCTTCTTATAGTTTGCCTTGAGGGGTGGGCGTTCAGACAACTGGAACTTGCGAACGATTCTTACCAACTCGTGAAACGCCTGGTCAACGTTCATCCTCAATTTTGCACTGCACTCAATATATGGGATCTTGAGTTGTCTTGAGAGGTTTTGTGCTTCCATCTGTGACACCTGCAAAATTCACATACATCCTGAGACAAATATAAGACGTTTTCCAACTTGGAGACCACAAACACGATACACTGTCCTGCTAATGGTTTGGTACAGAAATTCTAATGTAACGTTGATGACAGCATACAATCCCAGCTGAAAGCTGTCACTATTCTTAATTACTTAGAACTTTTAATATCAGTCATCTTATTTACGAAGTCATATGATACAGTGTTCTCTGCAGTGCCCCTGCCCGTTTAAATATTTCCTATTTGAAACATGTCTGAAGTATTGCAAACAAACAACTTTCATAACACACACACAAATATTTCAGAGTTAGAGCGGGCGCAAAACAAAGCATGTAAATTTGCATATCATAGCACGTATATGTGCTCTCTTCAAAGCATATATGGGAGAATAGGCATGGAAGGCTATAGGTGACAGATTGCAAAGGCCATACTATCTGAGCAGGGTCGATCATATTCGGAAAATGATGAGCAGAAAGCAAAGGACAGATATCGGAAAATATTCCTTTGTAAATAGGAACATCCAACTCTGGAACCAGCTACCTGCGGATGTTTTAGGGACTCTCTCCTGTAAACCAGGTACTTTTAGGAAGAAGGTTAGAAAAGTGATAAATCAGGTGAAGTGAAGGGAATACATGGGCGGGTGCAGTGAAGTGATGTGAAGGGAGGTAAATCGGGGTGAGGGTGGGAAGGCTACACAAGAAGTGAAGAGAAGGTCCTGATGAAATGTGAGTGCATCAGTTCATGACGTATGTGATTCATTATGTCTAGTTGGTATTAATTTTTAAGTTATCTACTTTAGGTTATCTGTTGTGTTTAAATACTTGTGCCTTATGGTTTTGTAAACTTATGAGTTGTTTTATTTTGAGTATGGTGTGTTATTTTGTTGTCGCTCATTGTTTTGTTGTGTCTTATTGTAGCACCACTGCCACCTGGTATAAGCCCATTTGCATTTAATAATATATAAAATAAATAAATAAATAAAAGAACATTACCCTGTACTTACTGTGTGCTGTAATTCAAAGTGTGTAATGTACTCACCAATCGTTGGTGCTCCAGATCAGCTTTGTTTCCAACCAAGAGCATGGGAAATTCATCTCGATCCTTTACCCGAAGGATCTGCCTGTGGAACTTGTACATCTCATCAAAGCTTGCCTTGTCTGTGACAGCAAATACGAGGAGGAAACCTTCTCCTGAGCGCATGTATTGCTCCCGCATTGCACTAAACTCTTCTTGTCCAGCTGTGTCCAGAACTACCAACAAAAGAAAGTAACTTTGTCCATATTCCTCTCACACATAAAGGGGTGGGAAAAAAAAGATGAAGAGACAAAATTGGTAGTAGAAGCTTATGACCATTTACTTTGCAAATACAACCATTTCTACATACTCTTTCACACATAAAAAATGTTCTAAACAGCATATTAGATATCATTACAATCTAACATTAGCTACCTAACAAATTAACTAAGTACCCAGGTGACTGTAAAATCCTTAAAAAGTATCTAACTTCATGGTACATGGACTTCCTTGGCAACTTATATTTATTCAGATGATACAGAAATTACCTATTTTAATTAGAACCCAAACTTTCTTAATTTCATTCACTACAGTTTGACATTGAACCATATCTTCAAGACAGTACAATTTCATCTTAATTTCATTCACTACAGTTTGACACTGAACCATATCTTCAAGACAGCACAATTTCACTTCATGTCTTTAAAACTTATTTTTTTTTAAGATTAATTCCTAATATTATCCTCTCATCTTGGCAATGCATGTGATTTTTTCCCTTGTAACCAAAGACAACACACATCAAGCCAATAAATGTTTCTTGCTGCAACTCAATTATGAATCTTTAATATTCTCACATCCAATCTAAAACATTAAATATTAAATACAAAACAATAATTTCACTTATCACTCAGTCTACAGGCAGAACACGGGATGATGTCTGTGAAGAAAGCATTCATGAGAATAACTGCACCTAACAGAAATATACAGAAAAAGGACTGGAGCAAATTATGTACTGAGTAGTTTCATAATTTGAATTTTTCATGTTTTTTGTTAGTGTTATTAAATTAAAAAGAGATGGTCTCGGCCTATAAAATTCACAGTAAAAATGAGAAATGTACATAATCATAAAACTAAGGAAGAAAAGACCAGTTGAAAGACCATGGCACAAATAGAGGAATAATATTAAAAACAGGTCTTCGAAAACATGTGTGAAGACATACACTGCACTGATCTGGCTCAGTATAAGATACAACAACAGATTTTTATGAACACGGCGATGTATATTCAGGTTCCATGACAATAGCAAATTTCTTGACCAAATGCTCAAGAACATTCTGTATCAGTTGGCTGCATTGTGCACATCATTTGTTCCACATGGATCAACCTATTATGGACCCAGCAGTGTGCAAGTGAATAAGTTGATATCAGCAAACAGGAAACATGGGATTGTTACTGGTATGTGTGGGCTTGGAATTCTGCACAGTGATGTCACTCCTCTGAATAATGCACAGAACCAATCTATTTTCAGACAGAGGTCAGGCATAAAGCTGGCCAGGTGTGATGGTAACGAATCCATGATAGGCTGTACTATAAGCAAACAATCTGGGTTTGAATCTGGTTCTCCCACATGCAGGCACTCAACTGTCAAGTTTGGTCTGACCCATGAAGATCACTGTCAACTAACTAAACGGAGCAGAGTTCTTCCAGGAAGCTGACAGTCACTCAGCCACTCATGAAATTACCCACCTTTAACATAACTTAAAAGCCCAATATCATATCCACAAGAAGCCATATTTGGATCCAATCCAGATTCAGTTTAACCCACTCCAAATCCCTACACCCAATTATTTAAATCGATTTTAATATTATTCTCACACACCTATAACTAGATCTTCCCAGTGGTTACTTTCATTTTGAACTTACAAGAGTGAATGCTTTTTGTTATGTGGTAATGATATATCAACTACTAAAATTATATGACATCAAATGTGACATGGAGGGATAAGCATGATGTCGCAGTAGATGATCCCATGTCAGAGTAATGGGTGTCATTTATAAAGCCACGCACTTACCACACAATGGCTATAAAACATTTTTTTAAAAAAATATGGCCCAGAACTGCATTTATTTGTAACAGCCTCTAGATTTCTGCAACCAGTTGTAACCGAAAGTTAAGACATAACACAACATACTTGAGCTAACAAAGCCACTCAGTCACACCAGGCTCTATTTATAGCAGAAGTTGGAGGAGCGCTAGTGGTTCAAACTTCATTCACCCAAGGATCAGTTCTACCAGACTACACAGTGCTACAATGCAGACAACAGTAGTGTTCACATACTCACCATCATGAGAACTTGAACTCTCACTTAATAAAATTATGGCTAACATTTACCCCTGATACATAAAATTAGGATATGCAACACAACTTCCACATAAGAGGACATCTGTGTACTTACTCATTACAACTGGTGTGTAAATTGAGTGTAACTATTTTCTGTGTTTGCACCGTCTGCCGCTGCCTGTTACAGGCATTCTGACAACAGACAGGAGACCTTTCATGCACATTAACATAATGCAACTACTGTACTTAAAAGTGAGAAATATAAACACAGTAAAAGTGTAGATTACAGTTTTCTGGGTTATGACAGCTTGCAGATTTGTAGGTGGTTAAAAGTGGTTTGAATGCAGTCAATAGGTTCCTCCAAACAAACGCTGGCACACTGCAACCATTTAACTGTAAAGTAATCTAACTAAGCAGTGCAGAACTTTCTATAGAAAACCTGATAGTCACTTAGCTGATCAACAAACTCTTATGTTTTTTTATAAAACCAGAGATTGACAGCCATCTTATAACAGCAGAGGCCCAGATTTATGCCCAGGGCTGTCAATGTGAAATTTGTGGCAATGTGATAAGATTCACTACAAGTCCCCTGGTTTTCTTCTGTCAGTTTCATTAAGCCACTGATACGCACTAATTCACGTACATCTGGAGGACAGACAATGGCCCATTAGTGGCTGCTATTCTACACAAACATTGTCTCATGGGATAAAATCTTCTCAGGCTACATGCTGTGTCAGTTGTGGACAAAAGTGCAACATTTCACAGACCATCTCTGCCTCCACCCAACATTCCCCTAATGATGGAAGCAGAGTTTGCTGTGAAATCTTGAAGTCTTCTACATGAGTAACTTACAGGACCCTACACTGAACCCCACATCACTCCCCCATCTGACCCTCCCCTTAATAAAACCAAACATCTGCAGACTTATACAAAAGCTCACACAGAGTGGGATGCCATTTATTTATTTATGGTTGCTTTAATGACTCAATCAGTAGCTCACACTATATACTGTCAAATTGTAGAATTACTGATGAATGACAAATCAGAAACTGTCATGACATAGTTTAAGGTACTATCCCAACATTCACCTGAAGGGACTGAAATAAACCACACAACAGTAAAACAGTACTTTCTACAGCAGTGATAAAACATACAGAATGATACAAATGTAGCATTACAGTTTTTAATCAGGTAGTGAGTTGCCATGGCAAAACAAGCCAACCATTTCTACACATCCTCTACATCATATAATTAAAACTGTTGTAATTATCTGACTCATCACAAACAACAGGAAATGAGTGTGCTTTTCACTTCATCATACAAACCACTTCGCGTGCATTGTTTATCAACACAACGAACAGAATCTGGAACACACTCCTGTTAAAATTACTGTAACAGAAAACTTAAATCTGTTAGGGCAATGTTCTAGATGGAAAAAACAGTTCCCAATTCATGAAACTTATGTATGAGCACTAAGAGAGAGATGAGCAACAAATGGACCACTGTGGTTAAAAACTACAAATATGAAGTAGGATATTAAGATCTCATGGTGGCAAGTATGAGCCAGATGATGGAGGAAGCAAGTACCTCTGAAATGTCAGATTACACGATGCTATAACCCAGAAGACAGGCATCGTCACACAAGTGCTAACATTTAAAAATACCCGTATGTCAAGAAGCAGTGCCATTTTCCTGTTCATGTACTCACACCCACAAAATTAATAACTGAAGCCTCAGAAGCTTTCAAAATCATATTCAGTGGGGTCCACATGACAGTGATGAAGCTTCAAGTTCCTATGTGAAAATGGACGCTTGTCTTCTGTGTTATGACACCAAGTGGATGTGTAGGTAAATACCAGTGTTTTGGAGGAACATACCATCTCAATCTTCAGGGCTGACATCTGCTACGTTGCACCTTCAGCAGTTCAGCTCTGAAGACTGATGCGTTCATACAAAACATTGGTACCAACAAGTCCAAATGGCAACACAACAAAAGACCACAATGTACTGAGTGAATCCATCAGCTGAAGAATGACTCTGTCACTTTGTGACAAGGAAGTTAATTGAGCAGAATTAAAAAACAAACAGGTCAAGCAAAAGCACCACTGGCAAGAGGAACGGTTGCACTTACTGTCCAGCTTTGCAGGGACATCATCGATGACACACTGCTTGGTGTAAGAGTCCTCAATCGTTGGATCATAATCCGTCACAAAGTAGCTCTGAAAAATACAAAGGCAGACAAATGAATACGGTCTGTAACAAACAACTGTTGCAGCTGAAGTCATTGTGGGTGTAAGGATGTGGAATGAATTGATCTGGCTCAGGATACAGTCCAATGACGGGCTCTTGTGAACAGGGTAATGAACCTTTAGGTTCCACGAAAAAGGCAGGGAATTTCTTGACCAGCTCAGAAACTATCAGCTCCTCAAGGGCTCTGATGCATGGAGCAGGTTAATGGCCAGGCAAAGTAGTGTCAAGAAAGAGGGCGCTGATTTATAAATTTCAATTAAACCTTTCAAGTTAAGCCTAAATGTTAAAACATTCAGTTTGCAGGTGCGAGATGCCATGGGCAGCATAACTGTTTCTGGAAGACATGCTGCAATTCGTACATGTCCACACAAATAGCATTTTGATGGCCTGAACGACTGTGACACTTAAAACCTAAATACATGTTTACAGACGACACTGATTTTAACAGATAACGGGTACTGATAATTGCTGCATTCCACTGATCACATCTGATAAGCTGAAGCGTGTAGGATGAGGAATTTGTGATAATGTAATCGATACGTGCCCTAGGCACAAAATCAAAATATCATTGTTGCATTGCAAGCCTTCATGGCATATACCTGAATCACATTCAGTCACGCGAGACGCGTGGTGGGATGCCCACCACAGGGCCCCTATATCATATCTTTACAACTCACGCGATGCAATGTTAAAATTTTTATAGTAGTTCATAGAACTGTGACGACACAAAGACCGAATCTGCAGGTGCAAGGAATTGCCTTCAAGGCCAACCTTGTTACCATCAACCAATCGTTTTAAAATACACAGCCCACGACCTACAGCCACCGCAGAACCAGTTCGTTCCATATTCCCAGTACTCATCCTCGATGTCCAAAATGACGTGGGAGGAAAGTTTGTGACGTCACACGTTTGCGTCACCGTTTCCTGGCGTCCAGAGTACAAAGTGACCTTTTTGTAGAGACTGACCCAGTTTCACAGTCTCCCTGTCGCCCACACTGGGCATTTGGAGCTGCAAGTACGCCTACAGGCGAAAGCGGGTCGATTCTGAAATTTTGCTCACGGGATGTTATTCTCAGAAGATTTCATGTGTGCCTGTCCTGTGGACTTGCAGAAAGGGTGTGGTGAACTCTGCCTTTCCGAGTATGGAAGTTCGGAGAAAGCTCAGCCTTGTCACATGTCCAATAAAGGACATGAGAATCGCGGAGACAAGAGTGGTCTGCATGCCGATTTTGCACCACGCTCCAAGCAAACCATTAGAAAGATGGTAAACGCGTTAAGAATTACAAAGTATTACAATATGCCCGCTAACTTTCCGAGTCTCTTGGCTGCAGACAGAATTAACAATCTTCAATCCCATACACGGGCAGAGCAAACCGGAGCATGAAAGAGTAACAAGCGGCAGACAGACACACGACATTCCAGTTGGTTCTAGACGTGTCAGGTTGCCCGATAAGTTGCCTACGACTTTTACGTTAAACAGGAATATTATAATGCCATAGTGAACGTTCTCTGATATTCCACAAATTGCCCATTGTTGCGTCGTCGTCTTCATTCCGCAGTCTGTGGCTCATTTATCCACATTACCAATGGCAAAATTGTTTCCTCTGCGTGAGATGACTCACAGGGGAGTATGTTTATCAGACGGTCCGCACCACGACGTCCCAGACTAGGGTAAAATTAGCATCTATATGTATGCCAGTTCATCTTTACGCCTTGCACCAACAATCGAAACGAGAACTACGTTGTCAGCATAAATGTACATTCTGTCTCACAATGCTTTAGTCTTTTCGCATTAAACGAAATGCACAATAGTATGCATATAGTATTCGTAATTATCCACGGTACCCATCCATGTGCGCTACATTTTTCTCGACTTAATCACCCTGACCGTACTGGGGGAGGAGTATATCGTAAATTTTTAAGCTCGTCATTATGTAGTTTTCTCCAGAGCCCATCGTCTTCTCTCCTGGGTCTGACTTTGTGTTATCTGTCACGAATTGAGAAGATACAAGCTCACTTGGTGTTCAGGTTCCATTGCAGTTCTGGGACTCAGGACATGAAATGAATTGGTACTGGACAAGTTGTTGGAATCGTGGCATAAAACAAAAATTGCCTGAAGCAGGTTGGATGAACATTTGAACATTTTAGTGAACAAAACTAAAAACTGAACCGTATCATGGAACTGTTGCCGAATTTTCAAACCTAAACAAAACTATATTTCATCATGTCTCCTGCTGCACCGAAAAAGGTGATACGAAATAAAAATAATTACATTACGATTTCTTTCTTACATCTGCTGCTACACCAACGGTATCAACAAGAAATAACAAGTGTGACATATAATCGAACAATTAAAAATGAACTATTTAGAACTCCTTACAGATACTACAAAATCCTCGCGGGCAAACGGTTGGCGATCCCTGCGTGACCATATAAGTATATGGCATTTTATGGAACAGTTTCTTGTCAAGTCCGCTATAACATGATGGTGACATTTCGTATGTTTTTGTTCATATATTAACTGCAATAGATTTTTGCAGCAGTTTCCACTACATTCCTGTTTTCTCCATTCAAAATCATACACTATGAATCAAAACAACGTTACTTCAAATCCACTTACTTGAATAAATTGTATCGTGATAGCGGATTTGCCGACGCCACCACCTCCAACAACAACCAACTTATATGTTTGTGCATAACTAAGTCGATCGTTCTGTCTAGACATTTTTAAAACTGTACTTCTGCACACAATACACAAGAAATACAACACAGAATATTTCACACTATGCCCACTGCATGCTAAATAATGGCTGCGTCTATCCACTTCGAATCTCTATCCTAGTAGCTGCCTACAGACTTCAACTTTCCAAGATATGCTTCCAAAGATACCCACAAGAGCGAAGCACAAATCTTTCCCCCAAATTTGTCACCAGAGTGTAGAATATCCTGTGTTGGCATTACTTAAACCTGGCAGTTTTCTGTGACAACACAGATAAATGATTCAGATAACGTGATTAGGTAATCTATGCCAGATCCATCAGAAGTTTTGATGATGGAGGCAGCACGTTCCTCTGCAACGTTGGCGCGCTTTAACCCAGCTGCGCTGTCCAACAAACTATATGATAGCCATCTTGTGTTCTTTGTACACTTTAAATACTCCACTGCAGATACCTTTTCACTTACCTATGTACTACTAAAAACTTAAAAAAAAAGGGGGGGGGGGGGGGGGAAGTTAGAAGATAGAACTCTAGTAGGGGAAAAAATAAATTATGAAAGAGAATAAATTAATATATTTGTGGGCATGGACAAACTTTGAAAGGAAGACTGCATTTAGAAACCAATTCAGCAAAGTGAGATTTGAGACAGATCAATTCTGGGTACATTAAGAGAATTGTAAACATGTAACATGAATTTTAATGTTGCTAAAGTACTTGCTTCTAGTCCAAGTATCAAATATCATTTTAGAAACAACATTGCATAACATTTACAATACTACAGATCGCACAACTCATCATTCCTACTGTGCAAATCTGATACACACAAGAAATGTTGCTTATAATTTCTGTATGTTTAAATAGACAGATTAATTCATCTGCAACAATCACAAACATTTAGAAAAGTTTTAATATGAGGCACAATAATTTCAGAGAAGAGTTCACATAAAATAATACTCAGATTACATTGCCACATCCAAATATCATACTTTACTTCCTGAAAATGGAAAACAGGTAATTTTTCTGCTGCCAATTAGCCATTTATGTACAAAAAAGTAAAAAAATCCCCAAAATTATAATTAAATAATAATAACTCTGACAAATAATTCAACATTGTGAAACACCTTGTTAATTATATTAATATGTTTATAATGGTGTAATCTGAAGCTCTTACAATTTTAATATTTGCACAACTGACAAGACATTCAGATCAAAGAGAATTATCATTTACTTGATAAAATTTTCTAAACTTCATGTGTTATATACCTTGAAACAGAAGAATGGCTGCAAACAAACTGGAAGCGTTTGCTGCCTATTTTCAGCTACTAACACAGTATTTGCCTAGAAAGAACACAGAAATCCTAAGCCAGGATAACCTGCCTTGAGGCTGAGAATTAAATGTGGGAAATCCTGAATGTGAAGCAGGAGTGGTAACCACTTAAAAACAAAATTTGGTATTTTTTTATGTTAAGCCACTAAGAGAAATAATACATGACAAAGATGTGTGTAAATTGGCAAATTAAAGATATTTGAAAGTATGGCAGGAAAGCAAGACAAAAAGGAAGAAGACCCAATGGAAAGGCCAGACAGGCCTTGGAAGACAGCAGTTGGAACACACTATATGGATTAAAAGCTAGTCAGAGATCAGATCAGATAAATCTGTGTCATCTTAACACCATCCAGCAGAAGATGAATAAACTAACAAAAAGTCCTACTTATTTTTTAAATACAAGCTAACAGTGAGGGATGAGTAAAATTAATTACAATATGCAACATAAAATTACACTGTTACATTGAAATATATAGTTGATTTTAATGTTAGTATTCTGTTCCACAGAGGTGACGATTTAAACCCCGAAGATTGAGGAAATGGGTATACTCAAAATGTCAAAAGCAGTTTCCTACATCACAGAAGTTTCCACATAATACCAAGAAAGTCACTTAAGTGACTCCCAAATTTTCATGTCTTCTGCAGTAAGATTCTCAGTGACCTCATAATCAAAGTACAAGATACAAATATACACTTGGCCATATCACAGCACTGGACAATTAAACCTATAACATATTCTACGTAGTTTTTTGGAATGGGAATGCTACAAGTACATGTGACATTCAAGTGCAATGATCAACACTGATAAACTGCAGATATATTTCTCCTATTACTAACCCTCTCACAGCAGAATTGAAAGGTTCAACACCCTTAACATCAAAACTTATAATTTAACATGATCCTGATTCAGAATCATCCAACTCCCATCCTCGCCAGTAATTTTACTGAGATTCATCTTAATGTTATCCTCCCATATCTTTCTCATTCTTCCAAGTGGTTGTTTTCCAAGAGGTTCATCCACAAAAATTTTGTATTTTTTTTACTGCCTTCGTAACTACAAGCCAAAACCAGTGTGACCTTCTCATCTTCCTACATTCTACAAGACCTGCATAAATCACTAAGTTCCTCCCTCTTTTTGTTTAAGGATACCACTGATTTGTTCACAGCTCTGAATTATGGACAGTGAAAGGAAAGAAAACCCAAATAATTTCACTATGTAGGTAACATAAATTCTTTCCACTTCATAATTAAGCCCCAAGTGGCTTCTTCTTCTATGGCTCTCTGGTCCGTATTCGGTCAATGGCATCCTCAATTCTCCTCTTCCATACCCCAAGTGGCTAATGGTGGCAAATCATAATCTGTGCATGGCATTTAAAGGTTCATTAACTAATTTTATTTTAATTTCTTTAAACGTAAGGATCGAAGGAATGAAAACAACCAGTTAGAAGTACAATTTGCATTAACTACAAAATATTACAACAAGTGAATACTTCTATCAGCATTAACTACAAAATATTACAACAAGTAAATACTTCTAATTATCTACAAGAGAATTATTTGGTTGTAAAAACAATGAGTTACACCACAAAATGGAAGTACCGATGCTTCTCAAATATCTTTCGTGGTTTCCCGCAGGCAAATTCAAGAACAGTACATTATAACATTTTTCACGATTCTGGGTCGCACAAGCACATTTAATCGAGTGACATTAATATCGAAGCACATGAGACAAGTCCTGAACACAAAGTATTCGCTCTATCATACAGTAGTACCACTATGACACATACAACACCTACAAAAATTTTATAAATCAATGTCTGTCAATGACAAATTTTAATTTCTTATAACTGATAAAGATTCATATCAAGAATTCAGACTCAATTTGAACTTACTGATTCAACAGAGTGGCAGGCTTATACCCATCATACAAGCTGTCTTTACACAAATTCTGCTGTTATTTTTTAAGCCAGTTGTGTCCTCACTTCAAACTCAGAACTTGGCAAAAATCCAAGAAGCCACAAGAGCACATATTACATTTTCCCCATATTTTGTTTATTATTTCAGCTAAAGAACACATGTGAAGACTAGAAACCATCTAGAAATAATTGCTGTACAAACCTTATATTACGTGGTCTTGTCATATAACAAGTCTTCAACATACCCGATATACAGTGTACCTTCTGGCAAGCACTGGGCTGTAAAGTCTACTTCACACTGGGTGCAACGAGGCCTCGCAGCATGTCAAATGAATTACCATCAGGGTGCACGCTGAAAGGCATTCCGTCCTGACCACGAACTCTCAGGAAGCCAAAGTCGTCTACGCCGATTACCGTAGCCCTCTGACTTGATCCTCTTGGTCCCACGACTGTAATTTCAGCATCACTGCAGACAAAAGATTTCTTAATGTGTGCTTTCTTTCAAGCCAAGGCACATCACAGTAACTAATAATATGTTCACCACAGTTGGCTTACTTTCCACTTCGATTACTTACATCACTGCAGACAAAAGATTTCTTAATATGTGCTTTCTTTTTAAGTTAATTAATTTCCAAAGATAGCTGTCTTCTGGGTTTTAGCACTATGTAGTCTGATAAAGTTTACCAATGTTTCAGATGTCCTTGATGCCTCCATCATCAGGTCAATGAGTACTCATCACCCAGAAGACAAGTCATCTTCATACCAACAAACACATGAACCCAAATCCCAATTAATTTTACAGTATCGTTAACCTGTACAATACATGTTGCAGCACACTGATCAGTGCTCTTGCCTTGTATTCAGGAGATTATGGGTTCAAATCTTGACCTGAGAAGTGCCATACTGAGATTTGTTTATAGTTTTCCTCAGTCCCTCAAGGTAAATGTTGGGACAGTATCTTAAAAACACTTCCTTTGACAGGATTCATATTTCGTAATCATCAAAAAATTTGTCACAACAGTTAAAAAGCATCATTAAATAAACCAATGAGCCTGTACTGTTCAAACATGTAAACTAAGTAGTTTATTACGGTTTAAATATGGTTGTATGGCATTGCAACCGATGAGACCAACATCAACATTATCTTTATCAATGTGAGAACATCGAACTCGTTTGCTTATTAAACTTCAGTTTTCAAAACTGAAACATGATCCTCTGTGACACAGTTAACAGAAATCAGTTCCATGGAAATTGTCTTGGCAGACCTGTGAAGCCAGTAACTGTAGTAGAGGTCCAGCACTTGCCGCACATGACCCATCTGGACAGCATTCAAGAGCCCCTCAAGCTGTGTGAACGTGATTGAAAGCAACTTCTCACAGGACAGTGGTGCCAGCTTCTCATTTGTCGTGGAACTGAGTTGCACAATCATCTCGTTGATACATGTCGTAGGTGCTTGATTGTTGAGGTTAACTCCAAGACCTGAAATGACAATGTAAAATCAACTGTCTGTACAAAACTTCACATCGTAGCTAATAAAAACAGGATTAAAGATGTTACTTAAAATGAGCAGAAGTTGACAGGTAGGACGAATTTGAGCATAAAGTAAGGGACATTTATTTTGTGGAGAGATATATTTCTGAGACAAGTGTAAACACAAGGAAGATAACTGGAACACAGCAAGAATAAAGATCAGTCAAGAGAGCCTTTCCATTATTCTGGCCTTCAAACAACAGAGATGACTTAATGTTTATCGCTTTCCTAAAGTGAATGCTTATATAAGTGAAGAGAAAAATCTGACTTAGTTCACAATGCACAGACCAGGCCTTGTCTTATCCTATGAACACTTAAGTCCTGCTACATAGAGAAAAAATTAAGACGTCTTAATGGCACAATAACATTGGTCACCATTATTATACCACTTCATCAGAGCAATAGCTTTGTCAGTTTCAACAATAGCCATACAAATACACCAACATTTGTGTTAAATTGACACATATTTTAATGCTACAATCCACATGAATAAAACCCACCAATTCATAGACAAGTGGGCAATTGTTAACATGATGTATGTTATACGGAATATTCTAAAAGTGATGTTTATACACAAACATTCCTAAAATGTGGTAATAGAACTTTGACAGTCTGAAATGTCTTGAATTTCAACAATAAGATAAAAGTATGAGAAACTACAGATGTAAAACACAGAACAATGAGCACATAATAACTTACCAACATTACAAACGACGAACGTTTTTTCTGGGGTACTGTTCACAATGACGCCACCCAGCTTTGCTGATCGGCCAGCATAGATGTCATTGGGCCACTTAAGACGCAAGTCCAGATCCTATACAAAGCCACAAACCACAAGCCAAAGATATACAAAATGAAAGTTTCTGATACCACTCACTACAATATCAGAATATAACGATGAAGAATGAAATGAAAGACATGTTGCACCATGCAGTCTGGTAGAAATTGACCAGTGTTTCACAAAATCTTACTGCCTCTATCATCAGGGTGATGATGATGATGATGATGGAGGCAGTAAGCACCTCTGAAATGTCAGTTCATTTCTAAAAGCATCCAAGACGACAGTCATGTTTAAGTAAGAATGAAGTTTCAAGTCTGGTGTGAACTTGAGTAAAAATGAAAACATGGTCACACCTGGTAACCTGGCAGGTTGCAGACGGCTGAAACGACAGCAAGAGCCACGACATGTTGCAGCAGAGGCGCGTGCTGCCCGAGGTACGACGCGAGAGGAACGTGCAGTTGTACTGAGAACATGGCAGACCCTTCAGGACTGAGCCACATATTTCCACCGCGCCCCACTCCGCTCGTCTGCTGGCGGGGCACAACAACCAGTCCGTGCTGCAGTGAGACCCCCGACAGCACATTCATGGAACTGGTCATCACATCCGAGTAAATCACCAGGCGACCCACCACCTCTGACTGGAGATTCTGAACAAGGACACAAATCTTCATACTCACACATGTAGTTCCTCAACTGTGTCACTTTCAACCACATACTGACAAGGAGATGAGGAAATCTGATAGCATAAATTTAACAATTATCTGTTAGTGAGTGTGTACCTCAAAGTATTCTATAGTGGAGAAGTTGGCAGGGCAGGCATGGACAAGAACAGGCATGAAGTTGGCAGTGGCTTTGGGAGGCTCCACCCCCTTGGCAGTGCAGAACTGTAGACTCATCTGAGAATTCTTGAGGATGTTATCTCCCTCCAGGCGATCATGAAGATGCTGGAGAAACTCCAACTTTGTCTGCAGGTAACACAAAGAAGACAAATATTTCCAGATTCATACAAATACCACTTACACTTTCCCCCCACCCCCTAAATACTACATTAAAATTCCCAGTGCACATTAAAATTTTATGTCACTAATTCCTCATCTACGCAGTTGACAAATATTCAGGCACTCCTCTTACTTATGAATCAGAAGTGTCACAACCATCACCACACAGTTCTCACATGGACATCATTAATAACAAAGCATTAAAAGCCTAGTAAATGTATGAACAGCGTAACAATTCTGGCATATTCACCAGAAATTGACCTTTGAAATAGTGTGTGTAACAGAGATATTTGATGCCAATGAACTTTAAGCTGGCAATATGTCCACCACCTGTCTGTCTGGGCTGTAACATTATCATGGTTATTTTCTTATAAGGTTTCGGGTCTGGCAAGCATGTTTTTTTTTCCTTTTCCACACACAGACATACATGTATGTCTTCATGTAAAGTGTCCATTATTGTTTCCAAATATGAACCAAAATAGGAATGTGATGACAAGTTTTAGTAAACTCCCCTTCCCCCCTGCAGTAACAAATTTCATGAAAATCCAATCAGTAATTCCGGAGTTGTTACGTGTGGGTGGACAGACAGACATGCAGAGCAATGTTTGTAGGAGCATTTTTGCAACCGAGCCTAAAAACAATGCAGTAGCACCACATCCATGACAAGTTCAAACTTGGAAGACAGTCCACGCTTTCACTAAACCAAACCCTTAAAGCTTCTAATTTTAAGAATGAAATTTCTTATGTCTCTTCACAAATAAAACTTTTCTTTCTTCAATACTGTCATGTCATATGACCTCTTTAAGATAGGGAGGCAAAACCCCTTTGTATGAACTGAATATGTTCTCAACACACACGTATATAAAACATTAATGCTCATTTGCTTTATAAAAGAAGAAAAAAGGAAGATGAGAATAAAGAAGAAGAAGCTGAGGAAAACTGGAAACAGATGGTAGGAGCACAGCTGTGGGAGTAAATGTACACCTCCTGTTCCCAGAAACAAACCAAATTAACTCTAACCTCATGCCTGCCAAGAAAGTAACCCGGCGTGTAAGTAGGAATCTTCTGACTGGTGGTGCACTGCATGCCGAGATGAGTGGACAACAGATCCTGTATGATCTCCAGACGAGCTGTGTCGCTTTCCTTCAGCGCTGTAAACTTGCTCTCTTCGTCTTCATACTGTATGGGATCCACTTCAAGATGCACCTGTGAGAACACAACCTTGCCATGCCCACCACTGACCACTGCGAGCAACAATGATGGAGTATGCCACGTCTCCTCTGCTCCCAGCACCTGGACCTGTAGCGTGTGCGGCTTGTCGTCCCCATCCAAGACTTGCACTGAAGAGGGAGGCTGTGGAGCTCTGTAATATTGGTCAATTTACATTAGTTCCAGATAAAGTCAGCAGTAAATAATCCAAATGCAAGAAGAGCAAGGTAGAACAGAACTGGACAAGGGTACATTCTACTTGAAGACCACTGTCTTCTAGGAAGCAGCACCAGGTATTCTGATAGATATTGACCCATCAAGGCAGTATGATCCTCTGTAAAGGTATTCTGATAGATATTGACCCATCATTACCCTAATGATAAAGGCAGTATGATCCTCTGTAAGGAAATACTCTGCACATATGAATGCCAAAGGTTCATCAGTGTTAACAAAACCCTATCCTGAGCCAATTCCACTCATTTCACATCTTCACAAATAAGACCGGCTTTAATATTACTCTCACGTCTATGTCTATTCCCTTAAGTGGTCTTCCACAAAAATGTTTTATGCATTTCTTCTTTCTTTATCATTTCCTGTCAATCTCATCATTCTTCATGCAACTAAAAAAAAACTCCATAGAACGGAGTCTTTAATTGCAGATAGTTACTCAGCTAGTCAAAAAATACTTGCCTTCTATGGAATCCTAATGTTCATTACTGTGTTCTGAACACCATATACTATGCCAAATTAATGAAGTCCACAGTCTTGCAAATTATTTCTTTAAAATTAAACTTAATATTATCCTCCAAATCATGCCTAGTTCTCTCAACTTACTTTTTTCCTTCTGGTTTTATAAGAATATTTCGCCTCTCCCTTGCATGCTACATAATCCTAAAAATATCAGGTGCAGAATACAAAATCTGAGATACTAAATACATCACATTTTCCAATTTCATCAGCTTGATACACCAACATGTTTAGCATTGTTCATAAAGCTTTAAGAAGACTGATCTCACCAAAATCCTGATGGCTACACCAGTCAATTGAATATCAGCGTACCTGGTATTACAGCTTGGCTGCGGAGGTTCCACTACATTTTCAGGCTCACGAGGGGAAAATCTTGTTCGCGCAGGTGATGCCTGGTAGCAGAAGATGTGGTGCATCATTTGAACCTGCTTCCAACGTCCATAAGAGAAGCGAACGAGTTCACGCTCCCTCACCTCTGCCGTTCGGAATGTTGGAAGGATCAGATGTAGGAAGTCAGAGCACATGCACAAAATATGCCCTCCATTTAGCAAGTAGTTCACGAATGTCGGTGCCAGGACATCTGCAACTGTACCGCATACAACCAGCAGTACAGTGTTGTCAGACCACGGTGAAGACAGCAGTGTAGACTTGCTTACTGTGTAAATTGTATACCTGTAACAAATTATTCTGATTCTCTAAAAGTCTAAAATGATGGTTAATTTGATAAATAAGTATTGCATTATACATTGTGCAAATGAAGAATTTATTGGTATGGAAATGTTGTGCTCAGACTGTATCTGGTCCACTGGATTAAATGTTTAGTGGCCCACTAAATTAAACGTTTCGTGTGTCCCACAGCTAAACATTCTATGTGGCCCACTGGACCAAATGTATGTCCATCCATGTAGCCAGAATGTAGTGCACCTGGTCGTGACAGACCTGCTGCTTGGTTCATACGACTGATCATCCCTCTGGCATTTTGCATAAAACAAAACACCCACAATTTCACATATTCTATGATTATTGCACACAAGTTTTTCTTGAGTAAAATACAGACTGTAATGGAGAATTAATCTGCATTTACAGCATATTAAAATATTTGTTTGTAAATTTGTGACAGTAAGACATATCAGCATTATAGCATCCAAATTGAAAGTGTCTGTTCCTAAAATTAAAGCAGGAGGGTTTACTCACTTGTGTCTCTGCAGGGTAGAGTGGATGACAGTTTTCACATTCTCCAGCGCAACACTGCTCTCCGAGTAGACAAGCACATTTGGTGGCTTCATACTGGTGGAAAAAGTCATCTTCTGCTTTCCTGGTCTCCTGACGGCAAGCATTGGGTCAACGCATGACGGCACTCCAACCTCTTGGTTCAGAACTGCCTTTGCGCCACCAGTATGTGATGTCACAGACACCGTGCTAGCAGAACCCAGTGAACAGAATGAGTCGCTGCTCTTCGACTCCCTGGTAAAGGCAACCAATCAACACCCAACACTCGCCTAAATATCTTAGCTAGAAGGAGGGACTGTGGATGATGGTCAACAAACATTACAAACACCTATTTATACATCACTTAACTGTGTAATATTCACCACTGAAATTATTTATCTACAACAATACTGATGCTAATAAAGAAATTAAACTATTACAGCTGATAAGAGAAAGACCCAAAAGAAAATTAAAAATCAGTATCTAGACTAGGAGAATGAAAATATTAACTAATTTATGTTGTTATTTTAATGATGCTGTCAAAAGCTGTGAATATATGGAGTTGAATGATGCTTATGTTATCAGGTAAATCACTCAATCAGTTGGGTCCATTCAAAAAAGCTGACCTGTTGTTGTCCAGGGACTGAAATTAGTCTTTTCCAATTGACCCAACTGATTATGTTGTTAACCTGATGACAGAAGCACAGTCAGCTTCTGAAACACCGCGTGGTTTATTAAACTACGACAAAGGACAATGTCTAATAATATACAGGTAACCCTCGATTTACGATGGGGAATCGTTCCTGGACAAACCGGAGTAAATTGAAACTCTTTTTATAATGTAAATCAATGGGAAGTCAATGACATGCGTTCCCGGCACCCAAACATTGACAAGTGACATGACATTATATTTAAAGTTCTGAAATAACATAAATAAAATAAAAGGTATTTAAAAAATACATTTTATACACTTACAATCGGCAATTCTTTGGTCCCCGCAATTGATGTGTACAGTCATTCCTCCTGTTATGCGATAGTTGCATTCATGTAAGACGCCGACCTATAGAAAATCGCGTAGTAAAAATAACCCCGGTACCTCCGAAGAGATTAAATTAGTCCTTTGAAAGTTTAAAGCGCCAGGAATGAAACTGCATAAGAGCACACTTGCATATGCAAAAGTTTCCATTCAACAAACAGCTTTTACCGATTCATCGATCTCATTGGGGCAAATTCGCATTAACGAAACATACGTAATTGCAGAGATGACTGTATTCATAATTTTTATTCAAAATCAGTGATGTAAGAATTACGATTTAGTATGATAATCAGTACGAAAAGCATTGTAAAACGTTATAAATAATAGTAAAATATATTTTTTCCACTTTTTGACTTGCTGGTTTCAAAAGCGGCGTTATTCTGAATTGGAGCAAATCAAGGGTTACCTGTACATCACTTCAATGATGCAACTTAAAAAAAAACCTTTACACTAAGATTACACATTCCTGTCTTCAATGATGCTGCTGTCAAACAAGAAGCCAAATAAAAATTCCATGCTGATGCCATGCTACAATATCACACTCTACACAAAACGATCCCAACAGAAGTAGCATGTTAATGAATTTGGTTCTTCCAAAAATGACAGGTGCTAGACAACATCAAGAATAGAAGTAAGAAAAGGGAAAAACAAAAAGAAAAGAATGTGGGGAAATAGAAGAGATTGGAGACATTCTCTCCAATGACCTAAATAGAACAGAAATGATGCTAGAAGAAAAAGGTTCCATTAAAGGTGAGAATTTATTGGCCATCTAAGTAACTATCAGTTTCTCCAGGAAGGTCCTGGATCATGGATTTAGTACTCCAGTAGTCACCTTGGTGATGTGGGCTGTTCGCTGAGCTCCTCTTCTGGAATAGCACTTGGCCCATTCTTTGCAGCTACGTCACTCCCAACGGCATGGCTCAAATTGTCCAATTCCTCTGTCAGGCTGTGGAAAGAGTCTACACTCTTATCTTCATGCGGAGCGATGGCCGAAGGAACAACTTCTGGCAAACCAGTAGTCATCTTCTCTTCAGACACTGACTTCACAGTCAAGCTACTGCTTGTGTCCGTGAGTGTGAGATCAGTTTCTAACTGTGATGGAACTGGGATGGCAGCGAGGGGGGTTAAAGTGAGGGGCTGTGAGCCAACAACCAATGAGTGTCCACCAACACGTATCTCCTCCTGACTAGAAGCTGCCTTCTCTGCTGCTTGAGTAAGGCTCTGGAGAAGTTGAATGCGTGTGCGCCACTGCACCAGTGACATCTGGACACTTATTCTTCTCTCTGACATATCACTGACTGCAAACAAATGTAAAAATCATTTCTCACTGATATATTCACTGTCAGAAATTCCTCAATGATCACCAGAGACATCCCATACAAAATCAAAACTATATAAAAAAAATTACTCTAGTAAATATCAACACAGACATTAAGAGATTTGAGTGGATTACAAGCAAAGGGATGGAGTTTCTATAGAATATTAAGAAATTTAAACAAAAAACAAAAAACGATCGAGTCTGAAACCAGAACATTATAAGAGAATTTTCTCAAAATAAGGACATGCAGTGGTAAAGCAAAGCTGTCCCCAGTACATGCCACTCTGTAAGAAGCATAGCTCGTACTCATTCTGGACACTGGAATTACATGGGGCTGAGCGGTTAGCATCACACCCCAGCCACGCATTACCTCTGGTACCCAATGGATTCGAGGGTGGGTGGGCCCGAGTTTATCTGGATGCTGAGGCTAGAAGAAAAACCCTCTGCCCCTACTGGGGATTAAACCCTAGTCATCCAGTTCATAGGCAAAAACACCATATAGACTGACATGCAGTGGAATAGACGAGACAAACGAGAAGATGGCCACATTAACAAATGTGTACCAATGTTACAGCTGAGTGGTTAACACTCCAATTTGTATTCAGGATGTCCTGGTCTCAAACGCTGACACTGAAGCCAGCCATTCTGACTGACAAACTTTGTGGTTTCCTTCAGTTTGTGTAGGCAAATGCAGAGAAAGTATTTTTCACAGAACACAAATGCTTCTTTTCACTTCCCTTCCAATTCTAAACAAGCCCTATAAAAAGGCATCATTAAATGAAACTCAGCACTCTGATGATAGAGACAGTATGGACCTATGAAATTTTGGTAAATTTCCACTAGACTACACAGCACTCCAACCCAGATAACAGCCATCTTTTGACTGACTGCCACGAAAACCTAAAATCCTAAATCAAACATCAATCAGTCAATCTCAATGAGAATTTACCTAGACTAGGAACCTCCTGTTGCAGTGACTTGTCTTGTGTTGCATTAGACTGGGTGATCGGTAATGAGCCAGCATTCAACATCAGGCATGGCCGACCTTCCACACACACAGCTGCAACACAATTTTACGCTGTGATCTGAGCAACTTCTCAAAACATCCACATACAATTACACACAACTATTGTTGAGGCTAATGTCTGGCCTGTACCTACCAACTAGCCCATTTCTGCGATGGAGACATATGTGAGACCGACTACACTGAAATGCAAACCATATGATGGCCGGCATCGGTAATCTGGCCATGAACCGTGGTAAGGGCTTGGTGTTCCTCATATTCACCAAGTTTTACCTTTGTTACAGGTGAGAGAAAGAAAGGACCTGGTCTTGAACCTGATGCCTTTGGCCCCTTACCCCCAGGTCACTAATTCCCAATAGGTTGAAAATTAATACAAAACCATCATCTCAGCTGAACTGTATGACTCTTTACAATGCTAAAACACGAAGTAACAATGTTCCTGTCAGAAATGCCATTGCTCAGCTACTCCATACGTAGGACCAGTCTTCATTCCATGGCAGTCCATGTAGAATGTAACAAGTTGTCTATTTTCCCTCCCAGTAAATATTCCGCTGATGCTGCAAACTCATCTGTCATTGCCGCTGAAATCTGTGATAAGCCTGAACACCCAAATTCAGTTTCAAAGTCAGTGCATAAAAGAGCTTTACACTGAAACAGACCTATCAATTTTTTTGTTCAACTGCATTGTACCCCCAAGACTTCACTTAATTCTTATATATTTCGAGGTGTTTGAATGTTGACATATTTATAAATGATATTACAAGTTTGTACTAGATTTCAGTTCTTCACTCTGAAGGAATATAAGGGGTAGGACATGAAATATTAAGCACCTCCAAATTCACTGTTGACCTCATCTTCACATGGTGTACACTAGATGCAGTACTCATGACCACAGCTGTACATCTGTAGTAGAGAAAATGCCACTACCAAAATTTACATTAGTAGAAATAATTATAACGTCATATCTTGGCAGTAACCGAGCTTTAGACACATGAACCACGTACTGATTATCAAACGTGACAAAAGAATAAAATCCTCAGTGACAATCCTCTACTCACACTCAATGCGAACGAGCTCCATACCATCATCTATGGACAGCTTTCCTGTCATGAATCTGCTTCCCAGATTTGCCAGATGTTCCACATCTGTCTCAAGAATGAGACCAAAGTAGTCACTTGCAAGCCACACCTGAGGCAAGCCAAATTGCTCCAACTGTAGACAATACCACAATTGTAACATTAATACCAACACAGAAGTATGGCAAAAACAAACCCATCTTTGGAACCCTCTCAGATTAAAGCTAATAATTACCTTTACATCTCTCTTGTTCCTACATAACCCCTTAAGTTAAAATGGTGTAACTAAATAAAACATAATTTTTACAGAAATACCTTAACATCATTAGCCATAATGCTAATCTGTATTCTTGCATCTTCCATGCTCTCAACACCAGAAACAAAAACAGAATGTGGAAACTTCTAGAACACCAAGAATCTGTAAGGGACTTGCTTTGCAATAATTGGCATCCCTGATGCTGGTGGCCTTCATGTAGTCTGCCTCAATAAGAATATGCAGCTTGTGTTCATCACACAGCTCCACTTTGCTTGATCCTCCATTCACCTCGATTGGAAACGTGCACCTTTCTGTGCCGAAGCTGATCCAACGTGTCACATCAACCCTTTGCTGGAAAAGCAAGAATATTACAGGAGCAAGGACACGCACTCCAAGAGCTCTCTTTGTAATCGCCATCCTTTCTTCATTGGTGAAGCTAAACCCAGTTTCAGTACACACTCATTTAGAGGGTAATAGTTTTGAAACAGAAAACCACATAACTATAAAAAAAACCTAAATAATTAACTATATGGTGCACAATTTTCTTAAGAAGCTAACATATTCAGCTAATCAAGAAACTCCACCTCTTATTAAACATAAAGGTTCATTATCATGAAGACACCATCATCCTCCATTACAATGCCAAGTAGGCTCATAGCTAAATATCAATCTTTCTGAGAAACAACAATGCTTCCATGTTCAAGGCTAAAGATGGAGGCAAAGATATATACCTATGAGTATGCAAGGCATCACAACCCAGAAAAACATCATCATCTTTACCATTGTAACAACTTGAATCATTCATTATTGTGTTCAGGGAAGCTCCTATGAGTATGCAAGGCATCACAACCCCGAAAAACATCATCATCTTCACCATTGTAACAACTTGAATCGTTCATTATCGTGTTCAGGGAAGCCCATCAATGTACCATATCCTGAGTTACATAAATCCAGTTCATACCTTTACATCATGTTCCTTCAATATTCAACTTAATATTACCCTTTCATCTACGCCTAAGTATTGCTAAGGAACCGCTATCGGCATCAACGTACCTGAGGAAACACTGAACAGGCACGCTTATTATCAGAGTACCATAAGAGGTCTCCCACTCGAGCTTCAGACTTGTTGATACAGCTACTGGAACTCACCCCCACTATTTGGAGGCCCACACTTCCTACACACATGATTGAACACATGTTCACTGGACTGGTAAGAATGAGACCAAACTTTGGGAGATGTGTAGAAGGTGGTGCAACATATATTAAAGTTGTGTGTCGACATATATTATGATGTACAGTACACAGGTCAATTTAACCTTGACATGAAGAGGGTATGGCTGCCCTGGATCAATGCAGTGAATACTTTTAAAGAACACACTCTCTGCATTGTATTTCAAATGGTGATCTTACAACACTCTCTGCCCTTATACTATACTGCCTGTATCTGACTACATTGGCTACATTTGACATCAGTATCTTTAAAATAAGTGCCAGGGTAGTACTGAGATACTCAAAAAAGTACTGGAGTACAGCCCTGTCTGAAGTGTACAGAGATTTGAAATTTTGACAACATCATCATTATTCTTCTATGACTCTATGGTTGATGGTTCACCTTCAGAATCTGTAGGTGCTGGATCAGGTTCCTTGTACAGCACCAAACTGCCACTACATGTCAGAAGTTGTGTAATCTTCTCCCTCATCAAGCTCAGGCGCCAGGACTGCACCCAGGTGGCAGCCATGTAGAATAATGTCAACAACATGATGTGTCTGGTAGAAATGTCCAGCACAACCAGTACAATGAGCTATTTCATTGCCTGCTGCAATGTGAAGGTCACAACTGCAGTTAATCAAGTAAACTCAGCTCCACCTAATCCAACAATAGTAGGTTTCCTCTGTTTATCAATACCAGCCCCATTCAAATTACTGTCATCCTCCTTTTCAACCAAACAGGAAAAAAAAAGGGGGAGGGATAAACATTTCAAAAGAAAACAAAAATTTAATACCTTAAAATGTGTCAAATCGTTGTTTCATATACAAAAGTTGCAGTTTTATCCTCAAACCTGCTACATAATTAGCAACAACCTTTATCATTTGCTATAAAAACACCAATTCCCCGAATTCTACGTTATATTTAAACAAAATATTATAATTATTAATAGATAATAAAGGCATCTACACAATACGAATGCTGTCACTTCTATTAACCCATCTTGGCATCACAGAATTAGTCATTTCTCTACAAATCCTTATATAATGTGAGTTAGGAAAATATATAAATAATAAAAGTGCACGTACTGTCCAGATTTATGCAACCCCATAACTTAAAATTAACAGGACGCCGCTCCTAGATAGCCAATCCTGTCGATTCTTCCGGTGGAATAGTTCGTTTTGTTACTGGATCTGGTATCGTGGTATTTCTAGGTTACATTGAAACAACGAATATTAAATATCGTTGGAGTCTTGGGATTACCCGTTGCAATAAGTGCACGTTATGATCAGAAAGTTGTATGCTTCAACTGTTGAGTAAAGACAAATTAAGAGTGTAACACCACTTTCATTACCTGTGTTATATAGATAAATGTGGTCAGCTACAAGATTAATTATAGTTGTTGTCAGCTCACTCTACTTGTTGATTAGATTACATTATCCTAGCTTAGGGTGACTGAAAGCACACCTCAGCTTTCCTATACAAGAATCAGATAAATTGTGCAGTGGCTCAGCAGTAAGCATGGTTACTTATAAGAATGGCGTTGGCAGCACCTAGAGCCCGGCTAAAAAAATTGTAGCCGCCAACATAACAATAGTATTACTAGTATTATTAATAACCTTTGGGTTAGACAAACTTTGGTTAGGATAGTTTTAGGTTAGGTTGGCGGCCTCCGGTACATAGTCCGCACAGGCAACCATACTTTGCGTGCCTTATGTTACTAGAATGAAGGTTTCAGCTCAACTGTTCGAAGAAGAAAATAGAATTTTTTTTAGTCTTTCAGTAAGCACAAAGCTGGTTTCTGAAATTAGTTAAGTTTTGGCTCTGGTTTGATGTATAGAAAACTTGAGGTTAGATTGTGTAGAAGTTGGTCCATAATCTGTTAGTTTTACTAATAGATTTATGTCATGTTAAATTTACAGTTCGCTAGTGTTCCAAAATGCCACTAAACTCAAGAGAGCTTCTTAATGTTGTGGCACAGCTAACAGATGACAGACATGTTCGTGCCACCATGAATGAATCATTGAAGGGTGGCTGTATTGCTGCCACCACAACAGTACTTGGAGGATTGGTGATGGGTCCAGCTGGATTGGCATTTGGTTTGTAGTATTCTATTCAGAAGTTGTACATTTCAGTAAGCTTGTCAAATAGACAACAGTTCATTTGTGGTGCATTTAATGATAAAACACCCGAATATGAGGCAGAAGTGCTGACCACTTTGCTGTTATGTTCAGTACCAATGTTTTCATTTCCCCTAAATATTACTAGCACACAAAATCCATCATTATGCTATTTTCTTCTGTTGTATGCATCAAGGGGTTGTCAACTGCTGAGTTGAAAGTAATTCACTGTTTACAGGGGGGGTTGTTGGAGGATGTATAGCCGCTATATTAAGCAAGGACAAGTTCAAGTCAGTACCACAGATCATCATGTATGACATGACAGACAACCAGCGTGAAAGGCTTGCTGCATCTGTTGCTACGGTGATCGCAGATTTTCGTGTGGAGGACATAGCACTGCTGGTTCCAATGCTGCTGAACAGTCCAGGTGCCAAAGAGGCTGTTCTGAGATCAGTCTTCACATTTCTACAGAATGAGATGCAGCTACAAATTGTGGACTGATAGAATGAATATTAAGACATGACCAGAATTTGTGATACCTAATAGTAATAGTATCTAAGAGTTGCTTGGGAAGAAAGAGAAAGTTCTATGGAGCCCTAATGTATTGATCATTATTGCTTCACGATCCAGACATACAGGCTGGCCAAACAGCTTATAAAAACTAAATAAGAGAGCTATATATTTAACAGCTCATTCTGTATGGAAGGAATGCTGATCACATGATATATTTGCCAAACATGACATGCTAATAGGAAACATAGACATGCATGTTTTCCTTGTTTATTTTGTATCCCCCTTCCCCCCTTTTTAAGCTCAAGTTAATACCTTTGTATTAATAGAATATAAAAAGGGAATAATTTTGACAAAATCAAGATAATATAAAATATATTTCTATTTACAGGTCTTTTTACAAAATTTTGGCCACATAACTTGTATTTGTTTGTAATCATTCTTATATTTCTATCAGTTTTCACAGTATGAAATTGCGTTTAACATAAATCTTATTTTCACATAAGTGGAGCATAAGAAATTTAGTCAGTTACGTATCGGGCCAGACATGATTCTGCTTGTCCAACTTGAGAGTCTTCATACATTATGAATCAGTGGATGCCACTGTGACAAAAAAAACTTAAAATATCGGAAAGAATGGCGGCTTCTTTTGCTAAACTCACCCTTGCAGAATGCTGATATAATGATTAAACTTAAAAGAGTAATAGCATAAATTTAGGTATGTATCTTAAGTTTAAAAAATATTGAAGATTTCTGTCTTCTGGGTTGTTGCGCTGTGTAGTCTGGTCGATGTTAACCAACGTTTCAGAGGTCATACTGCCTCCGTCATCCGGGCGATGAATCGCCCGGATGACAGAAATCTTCATACTCACCGCTGTGAGAACCTCAAGTCTTACATTAAAAAATATTGTTTTACTATGAAGTGCTTTATGCATTCATATTGACAGTGGTCTCCCATGTGTAGAAGCCTATAAGTAACTACTGGCATTGAAGTCTGGTGTGATGTAAAGTAGCTGACCATTTATAATGCAACATATTTGTGTAATTAGGAAAGACAGTTTTACAGACATAGAGAAGAAGGTTTGACACGAGAAGTTATATAGCACTCGCAATAACTGTTTTTATCTCATATTAGAAACTTATAGAAAAACTTTGTTTATATGTGTGTGCCTGCACATATGGTCTTTTTTTTATTCATATTTGGAAATACAAGTATGAAATTATTAGCAAAAAAGAGTAATTTGTTAAAATAAAATGTATGAAGGAATTTTTGTTATGTATATATAAAATGGAGAATAATTATACATTTAATAAAAGAATTAGCTCACAATGTTGATTATTTTAATAAGGTCCTGAATTGCTGTATTTCAAACAGGTTTCCTGTTTCTGAAAGACAGCACTGTATCATTCTCAAATGCACTGAAGTAAACCTGTTCCACAACATGCCATAAAGGCACTTGACCTCAGCACTAGATGGGGTGAGTGGTCAGTGACATTCCTCAGCCACACTCTACCCCTGCTGCCCACTGGATAGGAGTCTGGGTGGCCCCCTGAGCCGGCCTGGATGTACAGGCTAGGGGTAAAATCCTTCGACCCTTACTGGGGTTGAACCTCGGGCATCCAGTCGACAGTCTGACACCATACTGACTGAGCTACCCTAGCTCATTCCAAAATACACTGCAAATGGCTCAAGGGAGAATAACAGGTAGCTCAAAAATGCTTTTTATATTTTCCAGGATATATAAAATTCACACTTTCTTTCACACATTCATTTAGATTAAAGTTCAACTAGAAATTATTTTACAACACACAACACAATTCCATGTGCACTTCCCAGCAAAACAAATGTGCACATACTACAACTAATGACATGCATAACTGATCACTAGCTACTTCTTTGTCTGTGTTGGAACTGACACCCAACTTTCCAATTACACGAAAATATGTCTTATATACAACAGTGACTGATTTATTAAATTCTGCAGTTACAGAATCTGATTTCCCCATAAGGAAATTTAAATAGACATATTAGCATCTCTTTCTTGTTCACTATCTTTCTTTACTGTCGCTGAACTAGTGATCAAGTATCCGCATATTGCCAGACACAATTTTGTTCTCTAGCAGTGCTCCTGATGGAATGTCAATCCTGTCACCATGGTTTGCTATGATGATAACAGTGCCCTGGAACAAGCATCAACCTCATTAACATCCCTTGCTTTGCAAATGACTGTAGTCACCTTATTATAAGATGACAATTTGTACTTTTATTTTTGTTCGAAAGAATAGGGGGCCATATTTCTGTAAGAAGAAAAATTTGTAAAAGAAAACATGATTGAACAATTTCTTAGAAAATGGACAACTCTGATGTACCTTGGATCTCACATATTCATAGTATCATATAAATATGAAAAATATTTTGAAAACAGTGTTATAGAGTTTAATGTATTAGTGCAAGTGCTGAACATGTAGACATAGTTTATGCTGTCTTAACAAGTTACATTTCTTAATGTGTTTGCACTACAAAACATTTGATGAATCATATGGCACACTAATGAAGTTGTTTTTCAAGATTTGATAATTGTCAGCTTATGCCTCTAAACATACCTTCAGTGAGACACCTCGACCAAATGTAACATCTCCTGACACTGTTAAGTGATCCAGTTCAATGAGGTCTGGGATGTTGGCGAATCGAGACAAGAACTCCTTGACCTGCATCAGAAGTGGAAATTCATAAACTTACTGCAAGGATCTGCAAGTGACTGCCACAATTTCTACTTCACTCTGGGTATTAATTAGTTTCTGACAGTCTTGGCAATTGTATTATCTATTAATTTCTCTGTTTTATAAATGAAACCTAAAAGTTAAACCAAAGGAAGCCATGTTTTCCATTATTTTGGTTTCTTCGCCTTCAGAAACTGGTATAATTTACAAGTGTCTCAGAATGAAGTACCAAGAACAATATCTAGTTCAATGAGAGCCAAAGTAAGGCAGAACTAAGATAAGCTTCACTCAGTACAGTTTAATTATGGTTCTGAATGATGGTGGCACGGTGGCCTGGTATTCCAAATATTCACAAAATTTTACCTTTGTTGGAAGTGAAGGCAAGACATACAGAAAAATTTGAACTGGAGTTGGCTGGTCTCAAAACCAAAATCTTTGGCACAGAAGTCCATTGCTTTTGTCACAGATTTCCAAAACTATATAATAAACTAACGCTTAAATCTTTTATTGCTGTTAAAATCAAACTGTCATGTGACTGACATATCCTGAAGATCATCAGCTGACCTTTGAAAAGTGGTTGTCCCCCAGCTTGACAAGGGGAGTGGTCGGGAACATTCGCTGCGGACTCATCACCAGCGAGCCCTTGTTAAGGCTGTACAGGTTACTCATTACTAGGAGCAGATCAGACGTCTTCTTGACAGGAAGAAACCGACTTCGTGGTACGCTGATGCCTGCAACACCAATTTACAACTGACAACACACATGGAAAAGAACAGAAGGTACAAATAAAACAAAAATTGTACTCCTGTGTATATTTTGAAACGTGGAGAGTGGTATCCACATTAATGTCTGGATGTTTACTTCACTTACCCAAACCACCCTCAAAAGATTTCATGGCTGCACCAACAGCAGTCTCGAGCTGAATTACATTCAGCCCATTAGCCAGACATTTGTTGTTCACGATGATCTCCATGTTGAGGGAGTTTTCATTCAGGACCCGCTCAATCGCTGCACATAAACATATGCATTAATGGACCAACCCAATGAGGTATATAAAGAAGTGGAGTATAGGTGAGATTTCAGGTTCTCATGGCAATGAGTATGAACCTGACTGTCTTCTGGATTGTTGTGCCACGTAGTCTGACAGAAACTGAGTGACATTTTAGAGGTCCTTAATACCTCTACATGAAATATCTCTTAATATTCTGTCAGACTACACAGTGCAACATCCCAAAGACAGTTAACCTTAGCAATAGACACAAGTGAGTGGTCA